GAGAGAGAGAGAGAGAGAGAGAGAGAGAGAGAGAACTCTGGACACGTGGCAGTTGTATGCACACTGCTTCTGCCACGTGGCACTTCGCCTACTAAAGAAAACCAATGAGATAGAGAGGAGGAGGAGAAAGGAGGAGGAGGAGGATAGAAGAAGACCAAGGGAGGGGGAGGAGGTGGAGGAGAGAAGAAGACAAAGGGAGGGTGGAGGAGGAGAGGAGAAGGAGAAGAGAGAGAGAGAGAGAGAGAGAGAGAGAGAGAGAGAGAGAGAGAGAGAGAGAGAGAGAGAGAGCCTGAAACGTGGCACTTCGCCCAATGAAGAAAGCCAATGAAATAGGGAGGAGGAGGAGAAAGGAGGAGAGAAGAGGACGAAGGGGGAAGGAGGAGGAGGAGGAGGAGGAGGAGGAGGAGAAGGATCTGCCGGTTTCGTGATACGTCGACGAAAAAAAAAAAAAGGATGATGGAGGAGGAAGAGGAGAGAGAGAGAGAGAGGCTGACACGTGGCACTTCACGCAACGGTACTGTATCGACAACGACGGGGCAGCTTTCCGACGGCGGGCAGCGACGACGGGCAGCGGCGGCGGGCAGTGACAATGGGCATCGACGACGGGCACCTTGGCGAAGGCCGGCAGCGACGGGCACCTTGGCGAAGGCAGGCAGCGACGGGCACCTCTTTGGCGGGCAGCGGCGGCGGGCAGTGACGATGGGCATCGACGACGGGAACCTTGGCGAAGGCGGGCAGCGACGGGAACCTCTTCGGCGGGCAGCGACGAGACCACTTCGACGGGCAGCACGAACTCGACGTTCGAATTCGAAGGCCGCCCGGACGAATGTGCAGTCGGCAGAAGAATTTGCGCGGGGGGGCGGGGAGGCTCCCAAGCGCGAAAAAACATCAAAAAAGGCCTCCCCGCCCCCCTGGGCCAAAAATGCGCTGGGCCCGCCCGGCATCAAACTGGGGCCCCCAACCGGCCGGGCCGCCCGGGACCCCTGCCGGATGGAGGCTGCGCCGCCGGGCGGCCTGGAGTTTAAGACAGTGTCTCCATGAATTACTAGAGAACCAGTGCACACCATCATACGGCCCTTACACAATCAGATTTCCTCTAGCACCGTTTACCATAACATGGCAAGGACCACCGTCCGGCTCAACACCACGGCTCCCAACAGACATCTACATCAGGGCCAACGCGGGACCTTACAAACTGACCCCTCTGATTGTCATCCCTCCCTTTGAGAAATGCCGAGTTGTCATGGGAGGAGGTGGAGTGGGAGCTAACGAGGATCCGATGAGGAGGAACAGGAGCAGAGCAGATGAGGACACAGTCGCGCAGGAGCAGCAGCAGCGGCAAGGAGGAGAAAAGGCAGCACAGCAGAAGCAGGTCATCTCTCTCTCTCTCTCTCTCTCTCTCTCTCTCTCTCTCTCTCTCTCTCTCTCTCTCTCTCTCTCTCTCTCTCTCTCTCTCTCTC